AATTTATCACTTTAGGACTACCATTATTCGTTCTAAAGTCTTTAGCAACTGTAGCAACCAACCATGATCGATTCCCAAACATGTGAAGAACAATTATGTCCAGACTCCATTGTACAACTTGAAACAGAAAACTAACAGCACCAAAATGTTAGAAATCACGTTTGAAACAAACTGTTTGAAGAGACCTCCGCCAGAAAGTGTCGCACGAGCCCTCATGCACAGTTACTCTGCACGTAGGCTCCACGCGCTGCCATCGGTCACACGCGCCTGACCGTCGGAACCGCCTCCACCTGCACGTCACACCAGTGGTCTCCATTTCACTAAACTCCTTCTGGATTGGTCGGAAGTCATGAAAACAGAGGTTGATTTTTGACAGTTTTTTGGACCCTTTTTGGATCTAATTTCTACTTCGTCTCTGTCGATTTCCTGGACTTTTTTGGTATATTTTGCAAGCCAAGCTTTGATACCAAATGTTGCAGAAACTCGCTCTAAAGATCTTCAAATTGGTGTTTTTGGGTTCAGTCCAACGTACCTTTATCTAGCAAACAACCAAACCAACCGGCTCCCATCCACAACCAATATATTCACCTCGGCTACTATTCAATCTTGCCCACGAAGGATGAAAAACGGTGATGATTTGTAATCACAAAGGCAAGGAGAACAACACCACAAAGGAAGGCAAGAAGAGACCACCAAAACACAAAGTTTAATCACCAGTTTTTGGACACTACAAAGAGTCGTTTTTTCTCTCCTCAAGGGGTAGCCGAGTTCTCCTTAATTCACACACAAATCACACAAGAAAATTGCTAAGTTTATAACCTTATAAACAGGCTAGGGTTAGGATTTAAGTTGGACGTATAAGAGATTTAAACGGGCCAAGATTCAAGTCATCTAAGAGGGAATACAATTGAACTGGGTAGAGCTCATGGACTTGGTGGTTGGATTTATTTCATTCATTGGCCTAGGCCTATGAAATATATAATCCCACGTTAACATCTTCGTCCGGATTTATTGGGTATCAAAAAACCCAACACAAACATTATAGAAGTTTAAGAATTTCATGTAATAATGAAAGACACTTATCTAGTTAAATGAAAAAATGGCAACAAAATGAACATAGCAAATATGGGGATATTAGATGAATGGAATGTCATATTATAATGAATAAAATTGAAAATGAAGCTATATCAGAACAAGTGGTTGTGCACCAATTAGGAATAAATTAAGAGGACAATTTAAATTGGTGAGACATTTCTTGCATAGACTTCAATTTGTTCTTGGTTGAACAAATTAGTAAGGTAGAGACAGGTTGACATCAATATGGCAAGATGTGTTGACAAAATGTCTACGACGTGAAATGAGAGTTTTAAGATGGAGGTTTGGTATGCTAAACGGGATAAGAAATGAGAACATATGCTTAGCAACTAAAGGGGGTACTGATGAAGCTTAAATTCAGGTGGTTGAAACATATTTTTCATAGACAATGTTCATGAGGGTGACACAATCTCACAAGATAAGGATTAGAATAGGGAGGGGATAGACCAAAACTATCATGACCTGTTGTTGTGGTTTCTAAGGATATACTTGCTTTGAGTTTTCATGTAGACCTAGCAATGATCGAATGGAGTTACATAAACAGAGTTCTGTAGCTGACTCCAAAGTTATTGGGAACATTTTGGAAATGAGGTAGTCCTATATTGAACAAAATGGTAAAAAATAATTCATGCAGAATACCCCAAATGTTTGAGTGTTTGATGTTATCATATTTTTTCACATTCAATATTTTTGAAGTTGGGTTGATTCTGCTTGCTCCTAAGAATACCGATTTTTTTTTTTTTTTTTCCGTGTGAGAGATTAGGAACATTCTTTAGGCATGTACTTATTGAATAGCCCTTTCATGCTGAACAGTTTAGGATGATTACTTCATCTTGGCCTTAGAACTTGGTTATGGGCACAATTCATTTTTCAGCTTGGCGCTTATTTACCTCATTTTCTTCCAGTTGTGTTAGCCCGATTCTTCAATTGCTATTGCATTTCATAAGGAGTTTTAAGATGTTAAATACTGCGGGCTTTGTGGGAATTTTATGGCTTCCTGTACCATTAGTTCATTCTAGTTTTTTAAATAATTCTGATGTTGACTAAATGCTACCTTCACTATAAAAAGTTATTATGTGCATTTGCTCTTCTTGTAAGATCCTGATCATGCATTTGTTCATGTCTGTTAAGGCATGATATGAATACAACTCCTTAGAAACTTTTGCATTTTGTAGAATGCAACAATGTGGAATCTCGCTATCCTCCACTAGACGTTCTTGGGTCAGAGCTCATGCCACTGAATTGTCAGGTAATTCAAATTGAGGGACACTCCCCTTTTTTTTTATTATTATTTTTTAAGCATGTGACATTCTTGCTTTCTTGTCTTTTCTTTTTCAATGTGAACCACCTCGATAATTTCCACACTTCTTCTCCTCTCTTAGCAGGATTGCCAGGCTTCTTCCATTGTGGAAGGATCAACTTCTAGCATTGGTACAATTTCAATTAGAACAACTGGAAATGGAAATGGTAGTAACTTGGATAATGCTCAGTCTGCTGTGACACCAAAAGCTGCTTCATTCAGTTCCAGTCAACTTTTAGCTCAGAGGAAACTATTTTCTGAATCTCAAATAGGTCATACCAATTTCCAAAGGCTTCTGGAACCAAGCTCTTCTCAGAAACCTGGAATAGTTCCTTACAGAGTTGTTCTTGGGTTTGTGAAAGAAATGGTAATCATTCCTGGTTGTGCTTTCACATGTGTGGTGAATTTTTTTTGTTAGAAAATAGACTTGTTAATTTTCTGTTTGCTAAATTCACTGAACTTTGATTATTATTATAAAAATTCATTAGTGAGCCAAATTCTAGAACATTTCTCTTTGTTATTATTCTATTGTTCTCTAATTACTAAGTTTATAGCTTTTGAGTGAATGGAAATTTATAGTTGGGCTTCTATGCAGATAGATGATAATTTAAATTCAGAAAATTATCATTTAAGCTTCGCTTCCGATAACAAGATATGTTAATTATCGTAATGTACCACTTGATCATCACACGTGTGTTCATACATGCACAAATGTCTCCATCTACTATGTGGTTGGCTACTTTTCTTCTGGGATTAAATTTAGTTCTTGGAACCAGAAAATATTTAGATTTTTGAAGGGTTTTCTCGTGCTTCAATGCTGATTGCTTAGTACTTCTGGTCTATTGACAATTCTTGTGCTTGTTTAAGGTTTTAGTACTGGAAATTAACTTTTTCAGAAAAAAAAGGTACTTGAAAAAATTAACTTTGTCTTGTAGGAAGTACTTTTCATTAGGTAAAGAAAATCATTTTCTGTTAATTAAGAATAAATTTGGGGGAAAGTACTAAAAGAGCCCATCAAAAAACATTCTAATCCAAAAAATTCATAGAATTTCATGAACAATATGAAAACCAAGATTGTCATTTTTTATAATTCCAAACCCTTTAGCCGAAGAGAATCAGAAAAAAATGACACCTCCAGTTCAATCTACTCAGGAGTACCTGCTATAGCCTTGCTGGCCCAAAAAGGCCTTGAGTCAAATTGTCATACAATGAGGAGAGAAGGGTATACAAGAATTCAGTATATATCAAGAGTAATTTTATATCACGAAATTACTTTAACTCAGCCAAGTGATCTGGGCATGGCAATATTGGCATAATGGAACTTTTGGATCTATACAAAATCTTTTGGTTTTCTGTATAGGACAATTTTTTTAAGGATTTATTAGTGTTACCCACCTATTACTTGATTTCATGATTAGAATTATATATATGACAAACCACTTAATTATAATATTGAACCAAGCTCATTCCTCAAAGTTTATATAAATTTGGTTTGTTGAGAATTTTTTGTATAGATGTGAGAAACTAGTCTAGAAGGGACATAACACTAATTTATCTAGTAAATGCATGACAGCATGAAATGTTGGTTAAACTTTAAGAAATAATTTTTACTGGTTTCTTGGTCCGAGGTGAAATGAACAAATTCTTTTATCACGTTCAAGAATGCAGTGAGAAGGACCTACATTTAAGGCAATATTATGTTTTGCTTAAGGTTGTTTACTGGCTAATGTTCTCTTTGACCGGCCCGTATGTATAGTTGTTCCAGTTGGTTGAGGTACGCTGTCTTGGTTGATTATTGAGAAGAGATGGATTAGCATTATGTTGAAGTCCATAGGAAATTGACAATTGTCAGATGCTAATAGCTGTGCCATGGATTATCTCAATTAATTATCCACATTGAATGCTAATGTTGTTCCAACATTCAATGGCTTAGTCCTCTTTTGTTTTACTTGGATAAATTCAACACTAGGGTCAACTAAAATTTATATAAGATAAAATGTGTTTCTTCTTTCTTGGGCCTTTTCAGTTCTTTTCTTTTATTATTACGAAGTAAAAGATTGTATTTTGTCCATAAATTTAGCTCTTGAAGACACGGAAGCGGCTGGAACTTCTTCTTGAGGATCTTCCTTGTGAATATGATCCTTGGGAATATTTTGAAACCTCAGATCAACTTCTTGAACCACTGCTGCTGTGCTATGACTCACTGGTAACTCTCACCATCTAATTGCTTTTTATCTCCTTGCCCAGTCTCTCCCTGAAAAAGAAGAAAAGGTTAATAAAATAAATGAGTTAGATTTTAACCAATTTATATTACTTTTTGGTATGTGATATTTTGTCTGGAATTGTATTTTTGCAGCAATCTTGTGGGTCTGGAATCCTTGCTGATGGTCGGTTAGGAGATCTAATAAGGCGTGTTACTACTTTTGGGATGGTGTTAATGAAGCTTGATCTTCGTCAGGTAGTTGGCCTAGATGTTTAACATTATGGGCATGTTTGGTAAACAATATTAGGCAATTGTAGACTACAATAAACAAGGTTTCAACTTATATATTTCTTAATTTTTTATGGACTCCCTAGTTCATTTTACCAAGCACGCACCATATGTCCTAATAGTTTTCTTTTTCTGTACTTTTTTATTTTTTAATCTATGAGGTAGTTCTCCGTATCAGAGGATGTCCTTATGATGTTTCTATGCTATACGTGCTAACAACTCTCCACGATTTACAGGAATCTGTCAGACATTCAGAAACACTTGATGCAATTACCAGGTATCTAGATATGGGTACCTACAGTGAGTGGGATGAAGATAAAAAACTTGAATTTCTGACAAGAGAGCTGAAAGGGAAGAGGCCTCTAGTCCCCTCAACTATAGAGGTAATTATCCTACTGAAAGTTGTTTGTGAGGATTTTATCTGCAAATCATATATAAAATTGCTGCCATTTTCTACACGAATCTCGACCAAAAAGGGTGTCCAATGATAACAAGTGCATGGATGGTTGAGTGATGTTTCTACATCCCAAACTCACCGAAGGCATGTAAACCCTGCTTGCATAAATATCTATTGTTATCCTTCTTTCTCACTTGTAAAGTGGAAGCTGTAACTGCATATACCTTGAATACATGGCCTTCAGTATTTGGCCACTGGACTTTTTCTATAGGGCAGGGACTTTACACATATTACACTTGAGACACCTGTGAACAAGATTTTAAATACTTGCGAGAGTGAAGTGATAACCAATTTTCAAGTAAAAAGATTGTACTCAACCATGGAATAAATATCAATTTCTGCATTTCTCTGTTTGTTTTACTTTGCTCAAATGAAGAGAAAACTTGATGTCAATAAGATTGACGGAGATTATTTACCATAATTATACTCTAATCATATATGTATAATTCTATTACCACGTCTGTATGATTCTCTTACCATAATTTTGTATAGCTTTTTTCCTATATAATGAAAGCAATCCCGAACAGGAAGATCATTTAGCCAAAACTTTCACATGGTATCTGAGCTTACCTCTAGAATCCATTGTTGAATCTTTGATTTTCAGTTTTCTTCTGCCTACGGTGTAATTGGAGTTTGATCGATCCTTCCTATGTGTGCAATTGGTGTGATATAGCGTCTTTCAGTCGTATCCGACTTCGAGATTACTATGTGAACTGTTCTTGGTGGCCAAAGTTCTGTCTCAGAACTTCTGGCATCTGTGGGTGTTCGACACAATTTTCGGCATCTCTGTGGTGTTCGACGCGAGTTGTTTCGACGTACCTCTCTGCGTGGGCTTCTGTTTAGATTGTGACTGGATCAATTTGTATTGGGCCTCGGTTATTTGGTGTGGGTTGGGGGTTTTAAATATTAAATTGGGTCAATCATATTGTGGGCTTTGATTATTTGGTTTGGATTATCCACTCGTATGGTTTGATTATTCAATTGGGCCAATAATTTGTTGGATTTGATTATTTCTTAGGTTACCAACTTGTGGGCTAGTATTTGGTGTGGGTTAATTTTACTTTTGCTTAATTGGTTGATCTTTGTGATACAACATCATGCCAGTTGAAGCATTTTGTGTTAAATTTACGAGGAAGAATTATTTGACCTGGGAGTTTCAATTCAAGATGTTTTTGAAAGGAAATGAGTTTTGGGGTTATATTGATGGGTCTTTTAAAGCACCTGAAGATGCTAAAGATCTCAGTGCTTGGGAAATGAAGGATGCTCGTATTATTTCCTGGATTTTGGGGTTTATGTAGTCGCACATGGTGAATAATTTAAGCGAGTGAAGGAACCCGAGGGCATAGAACGGTATAAGAATAACCAAGGACTCTCTTACGCTCTTTCACTACTGCTAAGGAAATGTGGGAGTATTTAAAGTGCATTTATTATCAAGATAATAATGCTCGAAGATTTCAGCTGGAGTTAAAGATTGCCAACTATAGTCAGGGTAATCTCACTATTAAGCAATATTATTCTGGTTTTTTTAAACTTGTGGAGTGAGTACTCTGGCATGGTTCATGTCAAGGTTCTTGCAATAGCCTTATCAACACTACAAGATGTTCAAGAAGTTAGTAAGCAAGATCAGTTCCTAATGAAACTGCGACCCGAATTTGAAGTGGCTCTTGGTAATCGCCTAGAACATGGAATAGATTATGAGGAGACTTGCTCCTGTTGCCAAAATGACAACGGTTCGTACCGTTCTTGCTATAGCTACCTCCAACGGTTGGTCTTTGCGACAGATGGATGTCAAAAATGCTTTCTTGCACGGTGATCTTCAGGAAGAGATTTATATGTCACCTCCAGCAGGTCTCCTCCAAACCCTTTCTCGATATTTGTAAACTAAAGCGTTCACTTTATGGCTTGAAATAGGTCCCTCGTGCTCGGTTTGACGAGTTTCGTTCTACTCTTTTGGGGTTCTCATTTACTCAGAGCCAACATGACTCTTCGCTCTTTATCTCTGTTAGCAAGGCAGGTATTGTGCTTCTTCTTGTCTATGTGGATGATATAGTTATTATCGGGAACGACTCAGGATTAATATCTCACCTTCAAAACCGACTTATGGAATCGTTTCATATGAAGGATTTGGGACCTTTGCAATATTTCTTAGGTCTTGAGGTGCTTTCAACTCCAATCGGGTCTTACCTACATCAGCATAAGTATATAGAGGAGTTGATTACATTAATTGGATTTCGAAATGGTCAATCTGTTGACACTCCTTTGAAGGTAAATGTGAAGTATCACAAGGAAGAGGGTGATCGTCTTTCTGATCCCTCTTTATATCGTCAGTTAGTGGGCAGTTTAAATTATCTTATTACTACGCGATCTGATATTTCTTTTGCGGTCTAGCAAGTCTGTCAATTCATGCATCCCTACGACATCTTCACTTAGCCACGGTTCATCGTATTATTAGATATTTGATTGGTACACCTTACAGGAGTCTTTTCTTTTCATCTAACTCCTCTCTGAAGTTAACGGGTTATAGTGATGCCGATTAGGCTGGATGTATGGACACTTGTCGCTCAATTATGGGTTGGTGTATGTTTTTTGGACGTGCGCTTATTTCATGGCGAAGTAAGAAGCAAGATCACATTTCTAAATCTTCCACCGAATCTGAGTATCGGACTATGTCATCTGCTTGCTCTGAGATTGTCTAATTTTGAGGTCTTCTAGCGGAACTTGGTTATCCTCAGCTTGAACCTACTTCACTTCATGCCTACAATACTAGTGCCGTTCAAATTACTGCTAATCCTGTGTCTTATGAACCGACTAAGCACATTAAGGTGGATTGTCATTCCATAGGAAAGGCTTATAATGATCGAATTATTTCTCTTCCACGTGTCACTACTGATATTCAGATTGCTGATATGATTACTAAGGCGATGACAAGACAACGACGTCAATTTCTAGTTAACAAATTGATGCTTCTTGATCAACCAGCATCAATTTGATGGGGGATGTCAATAAGATCAACAGAGATTATTTACCATAATTATACGTAATCATATATGTATAATTCTCTTACCATGTCTGTATGATTCTCTTACCATAATTTTGTATAGCTTTATTAATGAAATCATCCCGAATGGGAAGATCATCCAGCCAAAACTTTCACACTTGATACCAAATACTTTTATCAACAGACCTATACAGTTAAATACTTGCATGTGCTTATGTCTTAGGAAACTTGTTGCTTTTACTAATTTTATTTTATTTTTCCCTGTTATTTTTGGTCAAACTCTGCATAAATGGTGTCACAAAATTGTTTCCTTACATATTTTTCATTTTTTTTTCCTATCCTAAGGTTTGCCCTATATAATGAAATCATCCCGAATGGGAAGATCATCCAGCCAAAACTTTCACACTTGATACCAATTACTTTTATCAACAGACCTATACAGTTAAATACTTGCATGTGCTTATGTCTTAGGAAACTTGTTGCTTTTACTAATTTTATTTTATTTTTCCCTGTTATTTTTTGGTCAAACTCTGCATAAATGGTGTCACAAAATTGTTTCCTTACATATTTTTCATTTTTTTTTCCTATCCTAAGGTTTGCCCTGACGTGAAAGAAGTATTAGACACGTTCAAAGTAGCGGCAGAGTTGGGAAGCGATTCACTTGGAGCATATGTGATTTCTATGGCCTCCAATGTATGAGTTGTAGTTTGTAATAATCCACATGCTCTTATTTCATGTTGTGCTTTAAAATCTCTCAACAAAGTAATCTATTTTTCTCCTCCTTTTTCTAGTTCTTTGTATCAACTACTATGTTTGTCTGTATCAATTGGCAGGCTAGTGATGTGCTTGCTGTCGAGCTCTTGCAGAAGGATGCTCATCTTGCTGTTGCTGGAGAACTTGGCAAAGCATGTCCTGGTGGAATGTAAGACTGTTCTATATATTTTCTGTTGGAAATCAACTGAAGTTTGGAGTTTAAGCATGACAAATTGTCATCGAAATGCGTGAACTATATCGGACTTATGAAAATAAATTATTTTTGCTTGATTAAAGGGATGGATATATGTTCCTAGTAACAATTTAAAAAAATTTGCATCCAAATTCTATTGCCTATTGGTAAAAGAGAAGAAAGCTGCTGTAACTTTTCCTTAAGTGCTATAGTTGAACTTCAGCTCAACCGTTTAGCTAAGTGCAAACCTGCCTGGGTTCATATAGATATCTCACAATAACTTCAAATTGAAGACAGAATGAAACAATTTGTATGCTGGAAGTATGCCTGATCATCTTCAAGGCTAACAACATATTTCATTCCATCTTGGGGTTTTTGATGCATAGCGAGTTAAAGAAAATTTTATTCACACCATAATTCAAGTGATTGGTTGTGAAATTGGATGAATAAATTTCCTTCATATATGTAATCTGCTGAAAGCCAGATGCAGTGAGTTTGTTGCTTCAATATTTGCTCAAGCACTATCATGAGGTGTAATGCAGAACTGCGAAGTTTATGGCAAACAGAAATTAGTAGTGCAAACTTACGATTAGGAAATATTGCATATTTTCAATCTCTGTTGTTCTAGTGTTTGTACAATGAAACTCTCACCAAAGAAATGTGCTTGCCTTGGAATAGGCTACGAGTAGTTCCTCTGTTTGAAACTGTGAAGGACTTAAGAGAAGCTGGATCAGTGATCAGAAAACTACTATCAACTGATTGGTACCGCGACCATATCATCAAGAACCATAATGGGCAGCAGGAGGTACTTGCCCTTAAATTTATCCTGATATTTCATACTATTTATCTTCATTCCAAATTTATGCTGTAGTTGTGTGTACAGGTGATGGTTGGATATTCTGACTCAGGAAAAGATGCTGGCCGCTTTACTGCTGCATGGGAACTTTACAAAGCTCAAGAAGATGTTGTAGCTGCATGCAATGAATACGGTATAAAGGTTACTCTGTTCCATGGGCGCGGAGGGAGTATTGGACGTGGTGGTGGTCCCACATACCTTGCTATTCAATCCCAACCACCTGGTTCTGTTATGGTTAGTTTTCAGTTTGTACCTTCCATGAGAAGTCCTATTAATCTTCTCACTGGATGCGCTGAATTCACATTCATTGGACATCATTGCATAAGTGGTATACTTTTAATGCATCTTACCTGAAAACCTGCACTCTATGTTTCTCCTGTCCTACAGTTCATTATGCTAAGATTTTCTGCACATGATTGTCAATGGACGCAATATGCGTAAGAACAGGTGAAACAGTGGCTAACCATGCTCTCATAGGAAAGTGAATATACATCTAATAGGGTCTGCAAGGTCATATACCCATGAATAAAGTGAGGCCAGATGAATTATGGTCTGATCTTTGCTATGCTACGAGTTTGTGCCAGCAGTATCGTGGGAAACTATAGTTGAACTGAACGGGAGAGTAATATGAAATAGTGACATATGTTATCATTTCCGTTGATACCCTTCTTCTATTCCATTCACAGGAAAAACCTCGTGTGGCTTTTTCCACTTTTTTTCTTGTCTCTGTTAATGTGATAGAATATTTGTTATACGGAATGGGAGATCACCAAGGCAATTTCCGGGCTCAGTAAACACCCAATCAATCAACACCACTATGACGAACCGACCCAAAACTTTCAAAGAATCTCTACTTTGGTTGCTTTAGGTTTGCCAACAAAGAACATAGTATGGTAGTGTGTCTAGCGGCCACACAGGCAGCCACGAAGGCTGAGAACGGAGGAGAAAAATGAAAGGCTCGAAATCACGGAGAAGGCAGCCGTTGTTCTCTATCAAAGGAAGAGCATATAACACACTAACACAAGGTAAAAGCACCGGAGAAGCAGCATATATACTTAACCATTAGAGTAAAAAGGTCATTAGGGAATAATAATGGACCAATCCCAATTCATGTAAGTGGGTTAAATATAGCACTAAGTTAGCCATCGCCTAAAAGCCGTCCAAAAGGTTGAGAAGTGGACCATGAACAGTACTAAACGAATTAGGCTACTTTCGATGGCCCAAATAATTTTAGGGTCGAATCATTTCATTAAGGTGTTGACTTTTGGTTCAGTCATTTGGTCGATGCTGATAGAAAATTTTACATCGTAGCCCGGGAGATCGTCTGACAACAATTTGCTTAACAATATTCCATTATTTTGCGAAACATATGATCTTGGATAGCTTAGATTGCATCTCTCTTAAAGCTTGCAATTTTTCTGCTTATTTTTATTCAGTTATTCCTTCATAATGATGAAAGTAATCAATAATCGTGTTTCAATTTATTTCTTATGAATTTCAAGCATTCAATAATGTTGAGCTCACTGTCTTCAGTCTAATGTGGTCTGTGTCTCAATATCATTGGCTGTTTGTTTAAGAATACTAGGATTACTCTCATTATTTCTTATCTCTGTTATTTGGGATAGAATCTTCCACATTTTGAGAAACAAATAGTCCCAGATAGCTTAGATTGCACATTTCTCTTGAAGCTTGCAATTTTATTTTATTTTTCCTGAAAAATATTTTCGTAAAGATGAAAGTTATCTATAATTGTGTTTCCATTTATTTGTAATGAACTTCTAGCATATCCACTAATGGCGAGTGTGAGTCTTCACTCTAGTATGGTCTATGTCTCAATATCATTGGCCGTTTGTTTAAATGGCAGGGTACTTTGCGTTCAACCGAGCAAGGAGAAATGGTGCAGGCCAAGTTTGGACTACCACAAATTGCTGTTCGGCAGCTAGAGATCTACACAACGGCCGTCCTTCTGGCTACCTTACAGCCTCCACAGCACCCAAGGGAAGAAAAATGGCGTAGTCTGATGGAGGAGATTTCAAATGTCAGCTGCAATAATTACCGTAGCACAGTTTACGAAAATCCAGAATTTTATGCATACTTTCATGAGGCTACACCTCAGGCCGAGCTTGCCTTTCTTAACATTGGAAGTCGTCCTACGAGAAGAAAGAGTTCAGCTGGAATTGGACATCTAAGGGCAATTCCTTGGATATTTGCGTGGACCCAAACTAGATTTGTTCTACCCGCTTGGCTTGGAGTAGGAGCAGGCTTGAAGGGTGTTTGTGAAAAAGGGTACACTGAAGATTTACACGAAATGTACAAAGAGTGGCCGTTCTTTCAGTCGACTGTGGATCTCATAGAAATGGTTTTGGGGAAAGCAGACATTCACGTGGCCAAGCATTACGATGAAGTTCTTGTGTCGGAGAACCGACAAAAGCTTGGTGCGGAGCTAAGGACAGAGCTTAAAACAGCAGAAAAGTTTGTATTGTTAGTTACAGGACACGAAAAACTATCAGATAACAATCGGAGTCTTCGCAGATTGATCGAGAGCAGGCTGCCTTATCTGAATCCAATGAACATGTTGCAGGTGGAGATATTGAAGAGATTAAGACATGATAATGAAAATAACAAACTTCGAGATGCTCTTCTTATAACGATAAATGGCATTGCGGCTGGGATGAGGAACACCGGTTGAACGTCAATGAACACGGTTAGGTGGATTTGTAGATATCCGATGCGCATTTATTATGTTATTGCTGAAAGTAATACAGTTTGATTATTAGTTTGGATACCATATGCATATGCTGTAGGATAAAAGCCATGGCGAATCGTAGTAGACTGAAGTGTTGTTTCTGCAATGATGAACCACTTTTGCCATTTTGGTTATCAGTTTCTTATTTCTGTTATTATTTATTCTTCCGTCGCTAGAGTAATTCTCTACGACAAAAAGTTCACAAGAGAGATAGAGAGTGAAAAGCATCCTATTTCTCAAACCCCTCTCCCCACCTCTCTCTCTCTCTCTCTCTCTCTGTCTCTCTCATGATCATACAAATCTTAATGTCAACTTTCAATTATAGGATGAATTAGGGCAAAATCGAAATTATAATTGTAAAAATCCTTAACTATTTGAGATCGATCTGCACGCGCGACGATGATAATTAAGTGTCACAAACACATACTACATAAAATGATTTAGTTCTATGAGAAGGTGAGTTTAAGAATATTGAGTTTGGTATTACCTCATTAGGAACAAACGCGAATATCAACTATGGTAGTGAACTTAATTGGATGGAACATAATTAAAATGACTCAATTATTTGGTTTCGCAAACATCATTTTGGCTCATTATACTTGTCAATGCCACTTCAGTTACGTGTTAATGATGTAATTACTGTCTTTATAATTTTGAAAATGTTTTGATTGTGCTCTTATTATTATCTGGTTCTTGCAGATGATTTAGTTTTATTGAGAATGTAAGTTTCGTTGGTCATGTTTGTCATTTGCACACTTGGACAAAGAGTTAGATGTACGTGATTGTAGCTCCATTGTTGAGGGAGATGTCGCAATCACTTCAGTACTTTTATCAGTCAAGATGGAGGGTAGTTTGAGTGTTGACGAGACAATAGATCAGAGTAATATGATTCAGGTTGATGAGAATAAAACTGATTGCAATATATTGATGATGTTCAAAATTACAGTACCATTGAAAGACATTAAGGACCTGTTCGGTAGTGATTATGATAATTGATTTTTTGACCATTAGAGAGAAATGTGGGCCCCATCTGTGAGCTTTTTTACCAATAGGAAGAAGTGATGTCTATTAAATACTTGACACATGGTATAATCCTATTGTTAGACGGGTCAAGCTTGACAAGTGTTAATCCCAATTGTTCTAGGTCTGTGGCCATCATAAATGTGTTTGAAAGTAGCCAACCTATTTCATATGCCTTCACTATGAAATGTATGCTGAAAAATTGATTGAGAAAATCTACCATAGGGTTGTCAAATCTGTTAGACATATACAGCATCTTTGTACGGAAGATGTCTTGGTTGAAGCAACATTCGTCGAAAATGCCTTATTAGGCAGAGGTTGGTCCTTTGGATATCCACTATAGCGAATTATGTCACCTCGCCTTAGAAGTGATGCTTCAGATGAAGTGTCATCACTCAGAACAAGGTGCCTCAATCATTCGTCTAGTTGCCTAATTGCTTTGGAGAGCTTATGAGGAGCGATGTGACATGGAATGCGAGCTTTGTGTAACTTCTCGCTTTGCCTATGCTTAGATGACCGCGAGTGTTCTGCTTCATAGGATATTAAAAAAATGATATGTTATGCCTCATCCCATATATATAATTTATTTATTAAGCAATATTTTTTATTTTCAACCACACAATTTTCAATAAAATAATATTACACATAAATGGAAAACTTTTCATTCTATTACAATTATCCATTTTAAAAAAAAAAACAAACTATTTCCCTCATTATAAACCCAAATAATGGGGGCCAAACTTTGGGGGGGGGGGGGGGGGGGCGAATTTTGAAATAGTGACTTTTGAAGAATATATCTTTGCAAAAAAGAAAAATTTTTGGTTTAAGTGTAAAATTTTTTATAGAAGAACGTATGATTAAACATGAATTTAAAAAAAAAATATAACTTATATCAAAATGTAATAACACACGTTTTTTATTTGTTAAGAGGATTCAACTAGTGTAGTGCCCTAAAGCAAACCAAGTGTCTCAATTATTGTCCCTTACAAGACTTGTCCAGAAAGTAAATTACTTTCGCTTTCTCTAAAGTAGAAACTAAGACCCTGTTTGCTTCTCATTTTTTTAGGAATAAGAATGAAAAAAATAATCGTTATTGGCCTCACACAAGCTATATAAATTCAAATTTGGTGGTTTGATGTAATGGATAACGATCATATTTTTCATTTTAATGAGAAAATAATGGGAACCAAACAGGGGCTAAAAATATTTTCTGTTATCTTTTATTACTTTTATTTTTATTTTTGTATTTTATAAAATAGGCTCAACATCTATACAAGTTAGGCCCTCCTAAAGTGCTTGTTTGGTATGTATTTTGCTAATTTATTATTTGACCGTTATAGATAAAGTGGGTCTTACGTGTGAAAGAAAAATTCAAAAATAAAGACTGAAATAGTGAAATAACAATCAAAAAATTAATGCTAATTGGATTAAAATCTCTACCAAACATTCTCAAAGTCTTATATTGAAGTAAGGCCTGCAAATTATCATGATTGAAGCTCCATTTTTCGAAGATAATTATTAAAAGAATTATTTTAATAAATTTAATTTATAGACAAAAAATTTATTACTAAATAAAGTAAAAAATATTACTAACTTAAAAGTCCATAGACTAAATAAGAATTTAAATTAATTGTTTAAGATTGATAAAATAATAATTTAATTTATATAACAAAAATTCTATTACTAAATAAAGTAATAAAACAAAATAATCAATATTACTAACTTAAAAGTCCACAGAACAAATAAGAATATAAAATAATTTTTTTAAGATTGATAAAATAATAATTTTAAAAGATTTTTCGAAAAATTAATTACTATAGAATTTTCATCATTAAATAAAATAATAAAGTATTAAAATATTAAAATTGGTTAAAGAAATTCAATCATCAATTAAATAATAATTTAAATTACGAGTGAGTTATAAATATTAAAATATATATTAATAAAGTATTAAAATATTTACGAATGATTTTGTAGTTAGAACCAATAATAATTTTAAAAGATTTTTCGAAAAATTAATTACTATAGAATTTTCATCATTAAATAAAATAATAAAGTATTAAAATATTAAAATTGGTTAAAGAAATTCAATCATCAATTAAATAATAATTTAAATTACGAGTGAGTTATAAATATTAAAATATATATTAATAAAGTATTAAAATATTTACGAATGATTTTGTAGTTAGAACATTATGCGATATCGTTGAAGGGACGTTTCAAAATCGTTCGTAATTTAAAGGGATTCTTCCCCAAAAAAGTGGGCATGATAGCTGTATTGATGTTTGATTTCTGGTTTTTGGTTGGCGGCATTTAGCAGTTTAAGGTGGTGGTGGAAGTTGTAGCCTTGTAGGCATTCATTTGGGTGGGTGGTGGTGGAAGTGGTGACCGACTGACGCTATGGCTGGGAGCATTTGGTTGGGGAAGAATGTTTACTGAGGAAGAATCCCTTTGCTTTACTTTTTTGTTTTGTTTTGTTTTGGATCCCAAAGTTTAATGATAATATATTCGATGAGAATCATGAAGGCCAAGCTAATAATGATCCATTGTATTGGGGCATTTGCTGCAATTTCCAACTTTTTATGATATTACATTTGACGAGAATCATGGAAGGAAAGCTAATAATGATCCATAACATGTTTTTGATTAATATGGATCAATTAGAAAAGAAGATCTTAAACCAATTAAATAATGGAAGGATCATGAAATATATGAAAAAATGTACTCGATGTAAAAAAATATGTATAACTTTTTGCTCGGTTGTCGAATTAGTTTAAGGTATTTTCGTTATTTGTGGTGTTTTAGTTTAATTCAAAATTGCTTTGTAGTTTATTTGGATTTGTTTTTATTAATGGTTTATTTTATGCCTATAAAAGGTTTTTTCATTGTACAATAAATACAATAATTTTTAAGCATTAATCATAAAGTGAAAATTTTCACTTTCTATCTATTTTTTAATTGAATAGAGCTTATCAAATATTTTCAATATTTGTGACGTTCAAACTATTCGAACTTATCAAAAATTCATATTCTTTGTGGCATTCTACAAATTTATAGCAAGGTTTATAGTTTTTGTGCTCACGGGGTCAAGATATTATTTGCTATTGTTTTGGTTCTTTAATTCAATAAATTATTGGGTCGAGCTTTCAAAGCATTGGTTCTTGGCTTCCTTACGTTTGATCTAATTTGTCATGGATTTCTTAGTTTCAATTCTACATGGGACTGATGTGAATCCACGTAGCAATAGTAGCTCCAAAACCTACAAAAGATTGAAACACAACCCAAGAAAGCTAAAATCTCGATTTGAAACTTGATCCAATAATTTATTGAATCAAAGAACCAAAA